TTTTGAAACACGTCTTTAAAATCCTTATATTGCTCAGGTATACTTGTTATCGAGATCTTCTCCCCGGTAGTTGGAGCCACATAAATGACAAATGATGTGCCTTCCTTGGACGGTCTTATAAACGCTCTTGCTCTAATGAATAAGGATTTCTCTATTTGGGGTTTTCTACTAGACTTGCTCTTGGGTGGTTTTGTGGGAAAGGTCATCTTTCGCAACCTCCAATCTATGAATGGATTATGCTTTTTCAACCAGGAAAGACCAACAATAACAGGATTTGACGGGGTTCTAATAATATTGAAAATAATATGACTACTATGGCCCTTAAACATCACTTCTATAGGTTTTGATTCATGGGTGACACTACCAGACAATAAAAGTCACCCATCTATGACCTCAACGTGAATAGGTTTGGATTTTTGTACTAAAGGGATCTTATGACGCTTTGTAAGTTCTTCATCTAAGAAACAAGCAGATGCTCTTGAATCTAATAATGCTAAGGTTCTCAGTTTCTGAAGGCCATTAAGCAAAGGGATTGTAAAGCAAAGGATAAGTTGAGCGGAAAGAAGGGAACCTGGTTGTTGTTGCGATATTTCACTGTCCAGCTGCACGGTTCTTATTGTGGCTGGGCATCCTCGTTTTCTTGAACAAATACGCCCCTAGTCCTGAAAATACGTCGATTTTGCTTCTTGGGGCAGTTTCCAATTTTGTGGCCTTCTTCACCGCAATACAAGCATAGACCTTCTTCCATACGTCGCTTTTTTTCTTCTTGGGTAAGGAATTTGACACGTATTGCATTAATTTGCATGTCTTCTTCCTCTAAATGTGAATTCACGCTGCTTGCCAACATAATTTGGACATGGCAAACCGTATGTTGTCTTGAACATTGGTCTTGGCGGCGTTGGAATAGGCGGTTATCGCACTTCACAGCTTGGCTAATAGCTTTGTTGAGCGTTTGCGGATCAGGAAGAGTTAACAGCAAATCCTTCACATCGTCTCTTAAATCCCAATAGAATTGATTCACTAATGCTTCTTCGTTCCAATTAATGTCGCATGCTAATTGCCTGAAATACGATGCATAGACAGATGTAGAGCGCATCCCTTGTCATAGTGACCGGATCTTTGTTGTAGCCCATTGAACCTTGTCATGTTCACCAAATGCTTTTACAAATTCGTCCAAAAAGGTTTCAAAGTTGTTTAGTATGGACAATCGTTTCTCAAACAAAGGAGCAAACCATGATAGAGCTTGCCTTGTAAGTAAGGTTCCAACAAGCCCAACATATGACTCCTCCATTGGATAGCGTTCGGACTTTAAAACTGTTATCAACCTGATTTGATTGACGAATCCTCGAAACTTGGAATGCGTACTATCGAACTTGTCCGGAAGGCTAACTCGGGGCTCTTTATATAGTAGAACCAGCGGTGCTTGTCGAACTTGAGGCAAAGTTGCTTCTCCAAGTACAGAAGTTTTAGGCTGGTGCAACCTAGATTGTGCCATCCCAGATGCTCCATCATTATGAAGCCTTGCCACGACTCCTTCAATCTCTGCAGTTCTTTGCGATAACGTAGTGAGGGCATTCATGATAGCATCCAACTTGGACTCCAAACTTTTCGTCATACTAATGTCTTAGCCTCCGGCCATTCTAAGTGAAGGACAGAAATGACTCTACAAGAAGACAATATTGGTTTAGAGGAGGGTACTCCGTAACCTCTAAAATGCCTTAAGAGCTTCAAGAAAAGGGGTAATCCACTCTTTCTAAGAAGAATAAGATTCCAATATTGTAACAAAAGAAGTATCAGTTTAGAGGAGGGTAATCCGCAACCTCTAAAATGCTAGTACACTTCCAAGCAGAGGGATAATCCGCACTCTAACGAGGAAGAAACTGACTCTGATATCTGAGGTGAGTGAAGTCTCGACAAACTGTCACAGACACAGAAATACAGACTCGAGATCTAACAAGAAGTTCAAGAAGAACTGACAAGAACTAGATTAATTATATGAATACAAGAACAACACCAGAGAGGTGAGCTAGAGCTCTAAGAGATGTGTTGTCGGGACTGAAGAACTTTTCAGCCTCGATTCCAATATATACTCCTATTTAAGAAGCTTCTCAAGCAACTTCTACTAACTAGGAAGCTTCTAGAAGGTTCTAGAAACTTGTCTCGAGAAGGTTCTAAGGACTATGTCCCTAACATCTTCTACGAACTAAGAAGCTTCTAGAAGGTTCCAGAGACTTACTTCTAGAAGGTTCTAAAGACTATGTCCCTAACAAATATAATATACCTCTATTTCCTACATATACTTAAAGAAACTTAGTGATGTTCTTCCTATCAAAACCTCTCATGGTTCTTAACCATACCTACTTATGACTTGGTCATCTTCTTTTTATTTACTAATATATTTTATTATTTTTCTATGAATATATTCAAAGCCAAGAAAAAATCATTGGCACTTGTTCTCCTAGTGCCACTTATATCAACCTCTTCAAAATCATTCATCATCTTCAAATGTTAAAAATCTCTCACCTCTTCCTTTCAATTCTAAAAACTCCTCCTCATACCTCAAGCTTGCATCTTAGCTCTATAATTCTATTGTAATCTACTTGTACTTTCAATTGCCTTAAAGATACTATTTATAGAAGTATCAAATTTATATTAAAAGAGTAAACTTCTTTAAGAGAATATGAGGTCTTTGATTGCAAGTAGATTGAAAAAAGCACATTGTTGTCCAAGTAAACTCAAATACAAAAAAAAATAGTCCAAAGGTCAAATAAAATTTTTAGATTCATTTCTCTTTTATGCCAAGATGCACTCAATTCCTAGCTCTATTCTCAAATCTAAACCTTATTTTACTAAAATATCTATAATTTCCTTATTATTAATCTAATTTAAGAAAAATTTAGCTCATTTATCTTAACTCAACTTAAAAACTTCAAATTTTTAAATTCAATAAACAAAAATTTGAGAAAATGAGATGCAAATAAAAAAAATAAAAAAATAAAAAAATAGCTACTTACAACATCCACTACTTTTAAAACCTCGGTCTACAAATTAGCTTAGATTTTTTTCATCACAACTTTTCTTTTTGTATGCTAAGGCTTATTTAAAAGCTAAAAATAAGATCCATCTTCTTTCAAAATCTCAAATCAAAAAGAAAAAGATGCAAAAAATAGTATAGAAAACTCCAAAGCAATCTTGAATCATGCTACCTCAAAAATTCCAATTATTCTCCCTCCAAAAAGCTCATATGGATCTTCCTTATTGTAGCTCCACTTCTTGTGTGCTAAGGCTTATTGAAAAGCTTACTACAAGATCTAGCTTCTTCAAAAAAATTTAAAAAATAAAAAAAATAAAAAATAAATCTAATAAATGGCATATTAGTTTTAAATTCTACCTCCCAAAAACTCCAATGATTCCTCTTTTACAAGTTTGCATGAATCTCTCTTATCACAGCTCCTCTTTTTATGTGCTAAGGCTTGTTAGAAAGCTAACAATGAAATATAGCTTCTTTCAAAATCTCTAATCTAAAATTTAAAAAATAAAATAAAATAAAAACAAAAAATGGCACAAAAACTCTAAACTAGTCTTGAATTTTGCCACCCAAAACTCTAGTCTTAAAACTTGCCCTCCCAAAATTTCAATGACTCCTTCTCACATACTCTTATCTAAGCAAAAAATAAAATAAAAAAATAAATAAAAATAAAAAAATCCCACTTGATGCCAAAATCCCTATCTTAATCTTCTTCCAATACCTGCCTTGTACGACTATAGAGTCGGATGTCTATCCTAAAAGACAATACTCTCAAAGCTTGAATAATCCATTCAAGCCAACAATCTCTTATTTTAAATCCTATTGAAATTTATAAATATATTAAAATTATATTCTTCTCATCCTACAAGCAAAATTAATTATCCTCCAAATATCTTTGATGCACTTAAATTAAGTACATTACTACAATGCCAAATTGGCAATGCTATCATGTAAAGTAAATTCTTACTTGAGAATGTATCATACAACTAGCTGTGGAAAATAGAAAATAAAAAAATAAGATCCTACTAAATCTAATAAAACTTAATTAAATTCTAAATAATCCTTAATAATCTTAATCAAGCTTTAATCAATTCAAATAAATTTAAAAGATATTACAAAAAAAACATAAAGAAGTCATAAATTAATTTCAACAAAAAATATAAATATAAATCTTAAAATAATATAAAAATAAAATATTTAAAGAAATAACAATAATCTTAAAGAAATGTTAAAATAAAATTTTTAAAAGAAATAATAATTCTTTAAAATACTAAAAATAGAAATCCCAAATAAATACTAAATGAATCTAAAATAATCCCAACAAAATTTTGATGTAGTTTCAATCAAATTCTAACAAAACTCTAACATTTTTGAACAAATCCTAACAAAATCTTAATAAAATCCTAATCAAATTTTGAATCCTAAACCAAATCTTAAAGAAATCCTAAATAATCCAAAGAAAATCTTAATTAAATCTTAACCACTTTCTAAAGATGTTTTAAAATCTCAATAAATATTAACTAAACTTTAGATCTTAATTAAAATTTTACTTACATTTCAATTCACAAGCAAATAATAAGCATAAAAATTTTGAGGAGAATTGAATGCACCAATTGAAAAAAAGCTCCCAAAATCTCTTGGATGCTGGCTGCCTATCATCTCCAACTTGAATATTGATCTTTCAACAATCTTTTCTCTTTGTTGAACAATTAAATTCCTTTAAAAAAATTCTGGTGTATAGATTTCTAAGTCTAAATTGCTTTCATCAATTTGAGTTTTAATCAAATTGGCAAATATTGTAAGATTGCAAAAATCCTCACTAATCCTAAATTTCAATTATCTAAGACCATAACTCACAAAAATTCTTTTAAATGTCAATCTAATTGTTAGATTAATATCAAATTTCTCAAAAATATTTAAGACAAATATAATTATGGATTGACAAAATTTCACTTGTCAATATATTACAATATTCACAAAATCCTCAATTTTATAAACTTCATATTTCTTAAAATCCAAATTTACTAAATACATCTTTCATTTTGAAAAGCCCTCGAAACCTTGATATACCTTCAGCTACAACTCTAAATAATACGAATAATACTAGTCTGATATAGGGACTGGGGAAAGTTGTGAGAAATGCTGTGGGATTTTACGCCTGCTGCTAACTTAGGGGCTAGCCAAGCACAATGTAAGAAAGGGCAGGCTCAACGCTCTTGCAGCTGCAAAATGGCGTCCAAAAGAAGTGACAAGATGTGGCCAAGCTGTTGCAGTGTCGCTGTCTGGCCCATCACAGTTATCACCATTTTCTAATAAAGTTTGATTGCCAGCTAAAAGGACGCTATAATTTCTCACTTCAAAGCGGTGGTAAGCCTCCAAATGCCGAGGAGGCCGCTTTTTTCATATTACGTTGCGAGCATTGAATTGCACCCACCTCGTTGATTTCGTGGTTCACCTGCCTGCTCAGAGACAAAGACGCGATTCAGGTCTGTTTAGACGCAAAAGATCATTTCCAAGCTTCACCGAAAGTCAATAAGAGAATCCGCATTTCCAGGTGGGGGTTTGACTATCCGACGTGCCCATACGAGCACGTCGCCAACAGCTGCGGTAACACAGGAAGAGTCCAGGACGGGGAGGAAAAGCTAGTTATGAAATGCTGCAAAAGGGGATGTTACAATTAACATGTGATGCCTTAGGGCTCTAACAGTCGGCCTAGTGACATCACTCAGCAACCAAAAGAAAGGTACGTGTATGGCAAATCTTCGCGGCTCAGTACTAGAATCTTATCAAGTAGTGACTCAATGACTCGTTGGTTCCACACGAAGGAAGACAGATAACTTACAACCCACGGGTCGTGTGTGAATATCACAGGTGCCGTGGAAATTGGCACTTAGAAGCGAGTTATAGGCTTCAAATGTCAATCACAGAAACGAGCAAAAGCTTCCAATGTCAATCGGCACTTGGAAAAGGATCGAACGAAAACTGAGTTGAAAGAAAGAAAATGATCAGGGTGCTAGCATCAACGTTTAACACTGCGCTTGACTCAGGTATCAAATGCTGAAAATTAATCAAATTGATATATGATACAAAATTCCTGTGTGCTGCAAGGCAACAGACGTACAAGTGTGTAAATGAGTACACCTCAATCCCAAGTTCGTATAAATGAACCTACCGTGCCACTCCGCACCCCCTCAAACCACCATCTGCTCCACCTACACCTTGCACAGATCCACCCTCATCCCCCACCAAAATCCATGTCTCCAGCATGTGCCGCACACGGCCCACCCATCTCACTGCCCCCACCACCTACTCAGCAACACCTCCCATGCACCTCCTCGCCCGTTCCGTGCCCAATCGCTTGCCCCGCACTGTTGCGCGTCACATGCTCCCCGCTGGAGCTACCTCGTTCTACCTCATCGAGCTCATTGAGTAGCTCGGAGGATTCAATGACCCGTCCCGCAGAAGCCTCATGCTCAGGCTGTTGAACCGATCCCGAGAGTACTGCCGCGACGCTTTTCTCCAATCTGTACCCCTCCGCATCATCACCGCGAACTCCTCATAACTGATCCGTCCGTCCTTGTCCAGGTCCACCTCCGACAGGATGGCCTGCACCACGTCCGGCTCGCTCGACAACTCTGTCATCGCCTCCCCCACAGCTTCCCGCAGCTCCTCCGTCTCGATGTACCCGCTCCCATCCACGTCGAACACGTCGAACGCCCTTCGCAGATGCTCGTCGTCGTCCAGGCGCTGCAAATGCACCGTCGCAGCCACGAACTCGCCGTAGTCCAGCGTCCCGTTCCCCTCCACGTCCGCTGCTTCCATCAGCATCCGCACCTCGTGCTCCGTCAGTTGGGACCCGATTTCGATCAGCCCCATCTTCAGTTTCTCGAATGTGATGGTCCCCGTCTTATCGCTGTCCAACTTCTCGAACATTTCCTTCAGCCCGTCGATCTCCTCCCCGCCCAGGTGCTCGGCGATCACCTGCAGCGCCCTCTTCTTCAGCTTGTTCATCGCCGAGAACTGCTTCAGCCGCGACCTCACCGCGTCCAGCGGCACGTTCGGGTTCTTCTTCGCGTTCTGCAGCCACGGGTGGTCCAACACCTGCTGCGCATTGTACCGCGCTTTCGGGTCTGGCTCCAGCATGTGCCGCACCAGCGACTTCGCCGTCTCGGACACCTTCGGCCACGGCTCCCGCTTGAAATCCAGAATCCCGCGCAGAATCGCCTGCGCCACGCCCTGCTCCGTCTCCGCCCAGAAGGGAGGCACCCCGCACAGCAATATGTACAGGATCACGCCCGCGCTCCACACGTCCACCTCCGGCCCGTAGTTCCTCTTCAGCACCTCCGGTGCCATGTAGTACGGGCTGCCCACAATCTCCGAGAACCTCTCCCCGGGCTTGAAAAACACCGACAGCCCGAAGTCGATGGCCTTCAGCGGCGCATTCTCGTTGGTGTTGGCGAACAGAAAGTTCTCGGGCTTCAGATCCCGGTGTATCACTCCCTGCCTGTGACACGCCTGCACCACCTCCACGATGGTCCGCGTCACTTGCGCGGCGCCCCGCTCCGTGTAGTGCCCCCGCGCAATGATCCGGTCGAAAAGCTCGCCTCCCTCGCACAGCTCCATCACCAGGTGCACGGCGACGTCGTCTTCATAGGCGCCCTCCAAGGTGACGATGTGCGGATGATGGGGCAGGTGTTTCATGATTGCCACTTCTCGCCGCACATCCTCCACATCCACGGCAGTCCTGAGCTTCTTCTTGGAGATAGACTTGCAGGCGAAAACCTCCTGCGTCTCCTTGTCCGTGCACAAATACGTGATGCCGAATTCCCCACGCCCGAGCTCCCTACCAAGCACATACTTGTCCAATATTCTGGCCTTCGGCTGATTCTTCAAAATTTGGTTGTTGGTCTGATAACCGTCCTGAGGAGCAAATGGATTTTGCCTGCGCTCCTTCCTGGACTTCTTTGTGGAAGATCCTACACAACAGTTACCCATTCTGGCGTTGATTCCTGTGAAGCTATTCTACCTTGTCCAGTCTCATAAAAAGTCGGCTGCACTTTCCCGGGGCTTCCACCACACTCGCAAGATTTATTTCTGACGCCTTGACAGTGAAACGTAAGCAGAGCACCTTCCAAACGCTCTTTACACAACCAGAACCTCTCTTTCTTTCTCTCACTCTCTCTCGCTCGCTCGCTCGCTCCTATCTATCTCTCTTTCTCTCACTACACAACCTGTTCCTCAATTAATCGAACACCTTCTCCACATACCCTAATTTTACACCAACCTTAAGGAACGCCTCAAATCTGCGCAACTCAGAAACCGTACTTACTTGATTATGTAATGACAAATCCCTAACAAATCCAAATGACCCATCCACCGACTAAGCCTTACAATACACTACCTGCTGTCTTGACGTATCTACTTCTTGAAAGAAACCGCACACCCTTCTAAAAGGTGCAATAATTTCTGGGTGTCACATGAGAGCGGAGCTCATGTTTCGATCAGTGGTTTTGACGCACACAGACGCCCACATTCTGTTGAAACCTCCAATGTGATGCAATGAATTTCTTGACCCTGATCTGCAAATCTACGTGCTTATAAAATTCCTCGAAAAGCACGTGCGTGCGCTCTCATTATTCGAGTCCAACATCCTGCGAAGCCAAGTTTTCCGACCCTCGAAGATCCACTCTTCGGCATGCACGTTTTGATTAGCATGCCCAATCTCGTTTAGCTCTTTCACAAGCGATAACTGCCGTATACGCCTGCAGCCGCATCGATCCAGACCCGTGTAGTATTGAAGCCAGAATTATTCCTAAGCTCTAGCAATCTGTACATACGAACAAGTATCAGGTTGCAAAGCTCTCGTCCAAATTTGATGTGACTACGGTAATTACGTAAGGCAAACGTTTCCTATGCCAGATTCATCATAAATTATTTATTTGAAGTGTTCAGATTCAGGAGTGGACAAATAACGGGAAAATACGTTAAACCTGAACCCCGCAATCTCATAAACTTAGAATTTTCTGTAATCAACCACACCGACGTGTTGGTATTGGAGAGAAAGATCATGCATCGATTTCCATAACCAGAAGGTAACTACGATCTAACAAAGGCAATGCAATTACGCAGAGACGTGATGAGCTACCCAACAGACCTATGCGAAAATTGACGATGCAAATTATCGACAGAAGGAGAAAACCGATTCTCCTTCCGAACAAATATTCTAAATTACCGCTGATGCTCTTCAAAAATATTTTAACATTAGAAGAATAGGTCTACTTCAAGCATCGGCATCCTGTGTCTACCAAGGATTGGCGCCATCGGAAGCCTAACTTAGAGGATGCATCAATCACACACATCTACTCTCTGGAGACCCTAAACATTGTGCCTAACGGTCAAACAAGCGCGTCAATGGACAGCTTTCAAGACTGCCTAAGAAATGGCACGAGTAAGTGCCACTTTTCAACTAAGTGCGGAAGCGCACTTTTCCATACTTCTAGCGCCTGAAATTCGCGACAAGCAACAACGAGGAACATGCAAGCTTTAATTTCTCTTCATTGAAGCCTTACTTCCACGACCGACTTGCTCGACTCTTCTACATCAGTCTGCAGATCGCGGTTCTAGAATAAAGCGGGCGGTAAGATGAAACTCAGTACCAAATACGAACTTGTTCAGCAGGATGAAGATTCTACGGCAATTTCCTCTTGTATCTGTGATACGGACTCTGCGCAACGAAGTGTAGCCTAACTGCCGACAAACGCAATCATTGACGAAGAAATTCCAAAATTTGATGTTGAATTGTTAACAGAAGAGTACGCGGACTTCTTCGTCAACAGAGAGGAAATATGCTAGACGGCGTCAAAAGGGCTTTATTCTCTGCCGAACACGCACTTGACTCATCAACCCATAAAAAGGTTACATCTATTCCACGAAAGGTGTCGAAGTGAGAACTTGTAAGCTCTCATTTTAACAAGCAAGCTGAGAAAATCTCTGACAGATGAACCAAAGTGAGGCATCAACCAAAAACTGACAAATGCACTAAAACAAACTCCACAATCGCTTGACACTCCGCGCCACTCCAGAACAAACACGAGCCCCTTCAGCTTCACACAAAACCTCAAAATCCTCACAACACACAACCCTCACACAAAGCTCGCAAGAACTACACCACGCTACTAATTCACACAACACAGTCACCTCTCCTCATCATCCTGCTCAGAAACTTAGAAAATTAACAAGAGCACAGCGAAAGAACCTCAAACACACAGAGCTCCGCTCTACAAACGTACCACGACCACTCCCAACTCTAAGCCAGATGATCCTCGAACTTGGCCCCCTCCTAGTCTCTAGTTTTGGAAAGTCTCAAATGGTCACTAATCCCATCTCGCTCAATACCACGTGTAAGAAGCCTAAAAGAATGTAAAAACTATATAAATACTCACATAACAAATGCAAAATCTCGTTTCCCATCGGAATTCCATGAAACGGAAGCCAAAAGAAAGGTGAAAAAGAAAACAGTGACCTAAAGGAGTGGCACGCGTTGCGGTTCCCGAGCAACATCCAAAAGTTGATTTGAGAGCGATCAACAGACGTGGGCAAGTGTTCAGCGCTCCAGCGAGGGATGCTAAGTCGCCAACATCAGTGTCGCCTAAAACGCTACGACTACCACTCCGTCCGAAGATTTCACCGTCGAAAGCATCCGCAAGAGAGCTGTCGCGCTTCACGAGAAGATGGGTGCGGATGGATTTGGGTTGAGCGAGGGAAATCGGAATCAGAATCAATCGGGATGCAAGATTCGGTGCACTGATCCAAGGCTAAGGCCAGAACCAGAGCCAGAGCCTCGAATGCGTGGGGCGATAATATATTGATCATTATTTGTGTGTCGCCTCCGAGCTACCCAGATTTAAGGGCAAAATCTGAGTGCGCGATCTCTCGCTCTCTCTCTCTCTCTCTCGCTGCTCTCGCTCTCGCCAATGTTGTTGACCGGCGTGGCAGGAATTTGTCCTTGGCTCGCCATGGATTTGGCACCCTGACAGCACGGCAATCATTCCGTCTCTGTCGGCAATAATTGAGACGGAGAACGACTGGGCCGTCAATTCGTGGCGAGGGTTCACATTTGCCGCAGTCTCGCATTCAAATTCAAACCCATTTTTTCTCATTTCCTTCTGAGAGAGTGAGTGAATGAGTGTTTTCATTTTGTCTTTTTTTTTTTAAAAAAATTGATTTAAATGCATTCAAAGCTGTCTGCTGTGGTCAGAATCCATGCCATGCTGCCTGCTTTCATCCCCTCCCTCGCCATGCACTCCGAGGGAATCCACAGCCTCGACTCGGAGGTCGAGCATACATACATCAGAGCAGTATTAGGGTTTGGTGCTCCCTTGGAGTCGTTGCAATGTGTAGTTTGAACGTGGGACTAGGATTCAAATACCTTCGTGCTCACGATTAGTACTAAACTTTTAAAATAATATAAAGAATAAAGAATGTAAAAAATTGGGTATTGGAGATTATTTTCTCTAAAAAAATTAATTATATTAACAAGTAAAATGTAGACTATTGCAATGGTCAAGGTACTAGAATACATTAGCATCCAAATCCCATGTATAGAAGCAGTTCTTAGAACATCTCTCTAAAAAATAAATAATTTAACTATCTTACATGGTTTTGTTTTTGTTATTTGTCTTAAAGATTATTAATTTTTTGTTAAGAGTTGTGACATTTTATTTAATGGTTATTTTTTATGTAGATTTTATAATTCTTTTACTTATCTAAATGAGATTTTTTTTAATGAAAAATATATAATTATTTATTATTATTATTATTATTATTATTTTCTATGTTACAAAAAGGTATATCACACTTATTTGTTTTATCTCTTATTTTTTTATGCATCTTTTCTTGTCATAAGCATATTTATACATCTAAATAAGAAGTGTTAAGTAGAAGATAAAATGTAGGTAGATTTAATAATATCTTGTAGAAAAGTTTTATTGGAAGTTTTATTTATATATACTTGTAGTTAATTGGCAGCTTGAAAACTTGGCCAACAAGTTAACCATGTATTGCATATGTTCGTGACTTGTTATATAAATTAGTTTTGTGGTGCATATGTACATAACTTATCTTGCAAATTAAACATGTTACTTATAGGTTAGACATGTATTGGAGGTCTTATAGAATGTTGCCTTATAGCTCTTAGTTGGGTAATATATATAGAGATAAGAGTAAAGTCTTCTTCATTCTTATCATTGCCTTTCTTATTCTTAATCTTGTTTCAAGAATCTCTAGTCTTCTTGTCTTTAATAATAGCCATTTTAGTTTTAATGCTACTTATTTAAACCACTATGGAAATAGAGGATATTGATAAGGAAAATGATTGTATACTTAGAAGGACAAAAGAACCAATATCCATCTTTTACCTTTGCAACATCGACCTACAAAATTCTATCAATATTTATCATTAAACTACTTACAACCTTCTATCTTTCTATTGCCAATTAGCAACTTAACATCTTTAGTTATACAAGGCCCACATGCTCAAGTTCAAATTAAGACCTTCAATGATATTAGATTAGAAGAATTTAAAAGTGAAATAAAGCTAACTAATAATGTGTTAAAAAATAAGATGATCAATACTATGAAGGCCATTAGTAATCAAATGTCTTGCCTCATTAAAAATCAAATTCCAACTATAAAGCCTAGATACCATAAATTGGAAATTCATATCTCTAAATTGTGGTATAAAAATTGTAGAAAATTTAAATACATAACACAATTTTGATAACAATTCTTACAACAATTACTTCTAGAGAAAAACCAATTTGAATCTTATAAGCCTCTTCATCAATTGAAACAAGTAGGTCATAATTTCATTTTAAATCAAAAAAATAATATGACACCTTATCCTACTTGAAGGAAGCAAAATTTAGTAGGTCAATGTTGGATTGAGAATAGAATTATTTGTTCCAATTGTAGATGATTTCATCCTATGGATTTTTATAGAAGATTCAATTAAATTATTCTTTTAACCTCTTCTTCAAGAAAATATAATAATCAAGCCAAAGAAAATATATAAGGAGTGAGATTTATAGATCCTATTATTACAAATGGTTTATCAATTATATACTATGACCACTAAAGTAATAGTCAAAACTATCAATCTATAATGATAACTCAAACCAATCATCAAACAATGCAAAAACCTTTAGCACATAAACAAAATCAAAACCAATAGCCACAAACTTCTCAAGATATTAGATATATAGTGGCTCAACTTGATGTAACTTCTACATCAAATTCATCACTTCTTAAATCCAACTTGGTACTATTAGGTAGGAAGAAAATCTCTCTTTGTATATTTACCTTCTTTACTTGTAATCAAAAGTATGAGTGCTAAAAAACCAATAGACTTAACACAACTTGAAGAAGATGAAATATATAAGGATATATTAGAAGAAGCATCTAAGTTTGTAGAATTGACAAAAATTATTCAAGAAATAGCTAAAGAATTTAAAAAAAAAAAAAAAAAAAAAAAAAAAAAAACGATTTTTTTTTAGTTGAATATAATAAGAAAGAGTACTAATTTGTAGACAAAAAGACCTTGGGCTTCTATTACTTTATTAAAGCGACTAACAACTAATAAAATCTTTAATCTTGTAGAACCTTATAACTTATGGCAAGATCTTTGTAGAACTAAAGCCAACATTTTTTTTGGTTAATTGATTCAAATAGCACACAACTATCAAACAAAGAGTAACATTATAAAAAAAACCAAGAATACAAAAAAAATAGTTAGAGTTGAAATTGATGATGTAAAAGGAAATATTATCTTAAAAGAAAAAAGAAAAAAGATAATAGAAAATATGTTTAAATCTACTATAAACAAATTGAAATTAAAAATCACTCAGAAGGTAGTTATGAAGATAAGATTAGCTGATCAAAGATCTTGTCAACTTCTAGATCAAATTCATGACTTTGGAATGTGAGAAAAAGTTATAGATTATATGGTATCATTTTATGTAATATGTTTATATGAAGAATTAAATAGTTACCCTCTTTTTAACAATTAAATATATTGGTCCTAGACTATACAAATATAAAAATAAAGGTGATTTTGCTAAGTGATTAAGAAAAAATCCTTATAAGAAAGAAGACATTTACATTTGATCTATAGAATTTGAGTCCCATCTTTATGAATTGTCATTAATAAAAGATTGGATACTTCTCAATTTTTGAAAGAATAATTAGAACATTTAAAAAGACTAAGTAGGATTCAAAGATTTATAACCCAACATATAGAAACCATCCAAATGAAAAAAGAAGAGATCTTTAATAGAATTTTTTTTAAAAAACTTAAAAAATTAAAAATAAATAAAAATTAAAAAATAAATCTCTAGAGATGTGATGGTTTAAGATGCTAAAAATCAGAATTTCTGGCTAATTTTGATGAATTCTAGATAAAAACATATTTTATCAAAAAAGTCTTTGTTAACAATTTAGTCCAAATCAAAAAATTAGATAATAAAGACTTTCTTATACAAACTAATAAAAGTTATTATAAGAAATATATGAGATAAACATTAATTATAACACCAACATCTTAAATTAATTTTAAAGTTGTTCTAATTCAAATCTATAGATTATTTTTATCTTTAATATATTGTAGAATTAGACTCAAGACAAAGACATTGAATATTGTTAATTTTATTTTAAAGTCATATTTATTTTCTATAAAACTAATAGAATTATATTAGATTTTTATGGATTTATAATCATGTAGTTTCCGATTCAAATCTTAAAAAAAAATATGGAAGGTACCTAATATTGAGCTAGTAGCTAAGTGTCACGGACACAGAAATACAAACTCGAGATCTAACAAGAAGTTCAAGAAGAACTGGCAAGAACTAGATTAATCAGATGAATACAAGAACAACACCAGAGAGATGAACTAGAGCTCCAAGAGATGTGTTGTCGAGACTGAAGAACTCTTCAGCCTCGATTCCAATATATACTCCTATTTAGGAAGCTTCTCAAGCAACTTCTACCAACTAAGAAGCTTCTAGAAGGTTCGAGAGACTTGTTTCTAGAAGGTTCTAGAAACTTATCTCTAGAAGGTTCTAAGGACTATGTCCCTAACATCTTCTACTAACTAAGAAGCTTCTAGAAGGTTCCAGAGACTGGCTTTTACGGGATTCTAGAAAGTTGTCTCTAGAAGGTTCTAAGGACTATGTCTCTAACCTCACCCCTTCTTTTAGCTTCGAGGTCTCTGAGAAGCAATATTATTGTTAATCAATACCAACGTAAGAAAATGAAGATCTGTCACATAACGTCAGCTATGAACTCCAACTGTTGTTCATGAGGCAAGTGGTTCATCGGCCCTTGAAGCCAATGGTAGTGGCCCACTCCTTCAACTTCTGACCAAGCATGAACTTGTGAGTCTTCATTATGAAATTGTCCTACAAACACGCCTTTTGGCTAACCATCGTAAGTA